GAATAATTTTAATGAATAGAAGAATCGCTTATCGTTTCCCCGATTTTCTAGGATTAACAAGTAGATAGCTAGTCTTGATAGCTTTACAAAAATGAGAGCCTGATAACTACAGATACCTGCATTGCCAACGGATCCGGAAACCTCGGTTACACACTTGTCGGTATTTTCGTGTTGCCATCTTTTAAGTTTGAGCATGTGGGGATTAGATGGCAGCAGCTTCGATCGGAAACGTTTGAACAGCTTTATCAGCTAAGTCGCGATCATCCCCTAAAATTGAGAAGTCAAAACGTGACATGTAAATTCACGAGAACACCCTTTATATCGAAGACATTATGCATCTCACGATACTTAAAGTTTTCTTAATATCCAATACAATACATCTAATGAGGAAAGAATATTCCTCAAGGTTTTTCGAAACGCAGTTTTGTCAAATAAGAAATTCAAGAATTCACTCTATTCGTAGCTTTTCAGTCTATTAACAAATTTAGTGCATTTGTCGGAACTCGTTCTGGGCAAATATTTGAAGAATACTGTTGCGCCTCAGCCGCGGCGTTATTGTTCGGCTAATGAATTCAATATTTATCCCCATTATTCCGCTCGCCGGCGTTCCGCTTCCTATGCTGATGAGCGGCGTTGAATTTTAATAAGCGTACGGAAATTTCTGTTTCTTGAAAACGGTTGAATAGGCGTCGTCTGCATTTCTGTAAAAATGTTTCGCGTGGCTCGTCCGCTATAAATAAATGAGGCGAGTACACCCTAAGGACGGGAAAGAGCGGTCGGTCTCGCGTAAAAGATGACGCAGCGTGACGTATGGGCGTGCGTAAACGCGCAGGAAAATTATGGAACGCGTGTAATTTCCTCGGGATGAGTAAAGGGCGGATGGAATTGGGAGGATCGATCGGACGGGGCTTTCTCGAGGGACGCGGAACGAGTGCAGGGCACGTTTAAACGATTAAAGGATAACTGTACGGGGATTTCGTTCCATTGAGAAATCGGTTTTCGCGTAAAATGAAAATATTCACTCTGGAATCGATAATAGAAGTTTATCGGACGAGGAACGATTAAGAACGGTCATGTGGTCAGTCGCGTTGCTCGGAGATATCGCATTTCAAGATTGCAACCCTTCGAAACGATAAGATTTAAGCACATCAGCCTACGTCAAGGCTCGTCGTCACACCGTGTCGCACGTGGTACGCGTCATTGCTTATTACTCTTACGCAGATCACACGCGTACTGTTGCGCCGAGAACCTAGCGAAAATGGCACCTGTTACTTCCAGCCGCTCTGTACATATGGGGTACGATAGCGTCTACTGAAATTTATGATCGGTTCGCCGTGTTATTTCGAATAACGTAGATTAAATATGTGTTACTCTATGAGTTGTTTTTTTTTATTGATCGAATCAACAGTGGAAAAGTTTAAGTGATAGAATCTTGTATATACATTGCAAAGGGGAATGTTCAATACGGAGTGATCAATGTTTACTTAACAGATGTCTGATAACGTGGATACAATTTTTTATGACCCGATTAAATATTTGCAAGGCTGACTTTATTCTTCGGGTGGAAACTAGGAAGGTTGACCATTTTAGACGATAGTTAAATGAGACTGTTCTAAAGGGTACACCAAAAGAAAAGTCATTTCTTCAATAAAAATGTATTATTCTGTAACCATTGCAGCTTTATACATCATTCAATAAAATATTCCTTAATACAGCTTCCAATCTTTTTTTTTACCCCTATTAACTATATACCAAACTATTCTCCGAAGCCACTCCTGAATCATCAACCCAATCATCAAGCATTAATTTAACAAACATCTCCGCAGAATAACAGTGCAATCCAAATATAAGTCCTCCTAAAAGAATCTTTCAAAAATCAAAGCGATTAACTCCATTTTTCAATGTCCTCAGATTGTACTAAAAAATGTATACAATTAGTTCTTCACGTGCGCGATTTCATCGTCATTTCTGCACCCTTCATTTCATGCAAACAATCATGTCATCGAATGAATGTATCGTATACTCTAAACGCAGCGCGCACCAAATCAAAATCGTCCCGCGATTCGCGTCTCGCACGCGGATCGTCGATCGTTCGACGACACAGACGAGTCGGTCGTCCATCAGCGGGTCGTTCGCACGCCGAAGGGAATCCTCGTAGCGTGAACCGCTTGCTCCCTGCTCCTCGTTCCACCAGGAATCCCGACCGCGTCGGCGTCGGTGTTACGAGGCGTCGTTTCAACGAGCGACGGTAGGTTCGCGTCGCGGTGCGGCGCTTCGCGTCAGCGTCGCTGGGACCGTCGACGGAGGCAACGCACACAGTGCTGGGCGAACGCGTATCGTCGCGTGACCGCGTGAATCCGCCATATTGGCAGCGAACTCTTCACCTGGGGACGGTGTGTGGGTGCGCGCGGCTGTCTGTGTATACGCGATCGCGCGTCTACGTGAACGCGGCCGGAGCTTGCTCGGTATCCGATGGTACGAACACAGACACACCTAGCCCGGGGGTGAGAACGAGGGCGTAGGCAGCGTGTCGTGTCGACCCGCCGCGAGGAAGGTCGACGGGGTGGTGGAAGAGGGCAATAACGCCGGGGTACGAGACGAAACACTTTTCACGACTGGCGAACGAGGCAGGGATAAGAAAAGAAAAGATTGGGGAGAGAGACAGAGGGAAAAAATCGAGGGAAGGGAAAGAAAGGACAAGGGAGAGACAGAAGCTAGAAGTGTGTCAGTGTTCGGAAGTGTCCAGTGCGTAAGAGTCCTGAG